GTGAGAGTGTGTATGTGAGCATGTTGTATGTGTAAACTTGAGGGCTATGCACATGTATATGCATTTGTGCTCAGGCACACATGTAAGCATGAGTTATTTGTGTGTTTATGCACACATGTGTATCTTCATAGACCTGCATTTACTAACTTCTGCTCAGCCCTGCCCAGCAAATGGACCCTAGAGAGATTGCATGCATCAGGGCCCTTGTTTGCTGTCAAGTCTGAAATCTGGCTCTATATCTTGTGTGCATCTTGGGAAGCTAGGCAGGCACTGGCCCTCTCCCATGAGTTTCAGTCTCCTCAGCATTTAACAAGAGTCAAACATCCAGCATCCACAGAGAGGTCACTTGCATGCAGCAGCTGTTCCCTGTAACAAGTGAAGGCATGTGATCTCAGCTCTGGTCCTTCTGTGGAGATGGAGACTAGCACTTCAGAAGTGGGTTTGCATGCCCTGAACCTGTTACTTCCTCTCTTCTCATTACTGAAAGAGTCCCCCATTGGTCCCCTTGCTGCTCAGGTCCTCCTTTCTGCAGCCCATCCACCAACAGTGGCCACAGTGAAACTTACGAGCATAATGCTTAACTTGAAGCTGCCTGTCACTCTTCACTGACCTCTGGGTCACATCCACCATCCTGTGACAGCACTCTGGGGCTGATCCCTCATCCTCAGTACTTGTGAAGTGCACCTGAGCTCCACTCTCTGCAGTCCCCCAGCCCTTTCACATGCCTTCCTTCCCAGCCCTCCTCCTGGTGACTCATGGCCTTGCTTGGTGTCTCCAAGGAGGGCTTCCAAGCTTGCTCCAGGTGGGCTGAGGCTGCCCAAGCTCATGCCACACAGGCTTCCTGGTAGACATCACTTGCCTGTTTCTCTGCTCCCCCTACCTTTATTCCAGGCTCATAGCTTTTCCAGGGCAGAGCATTTCATCTCAACCCCAGAGCCTGAACCATGGTTGACGTTAAAGGACATTCTGTTAAATACTGAACAAATCCCAAAGCAGAAACACATTTTCCAGCTCCCCTGGATCTATTTCTGGGATTGTGGCATCCAAAGACCCTCATCTTTGCATTCTAGACATCCACTCTGCCCAGCAGAAAGCAAGCAGGGGTGAGGAAGAGCGGCCCCCACCCAAACCCATGTCTGTAGACACTGTGTGATGACATCAACAAGGTAACCACTAAGCTCCCCAAAAGGCCTGCACACTTTCCTCAGGTGAAGTGCTAGCCTGTGGAGCATCAGCAGGCTCAGAGTGAGACTCATCCCCCTGCAGAGACCCCCAAATGTACCCAATGACGTCGCATCTGAATGGCCTCTGGGGGGATGGAAAAGGCTCTAGTGGGACCAGGGTACTGAAGGAATCCCATCACAGATGGAAGGACGGGAAGTTAGGGAAGGAGGTGGATGGTGAGACTGCTTCTGGCCATGATTAGAATAACAGACGTTGGAATTATATGCCTGCCAAAGACAGCTGCTTAGCTGCACAAACCCTGCGCATGGTGGTTTAGATGTAGAATGTCTTCTGGAAGGCTCTTATGTGGGATGCTTGGTTCCCAGCTGTGGATCCAATCCTTGAGAGGTGACTGGATCCTGAGAGTTCTGACTTCCTCAGTGAATAGATTCACTGAGAGATTCATACTAAGATGGCACTACTGGGGGCGGGGACTGGTGGGAGATGGCGCTCACTGGGGGCATCCCTTAGCGGGTATCTTGTCCTGGGCTCTTCCTTTCTATTCTCTCCCCTTTCTTTCCCTTCCGTTCCTCCCCTCCCTCCTCCTCCCCTCCCTTTCTTCCCCTCCCCATCTTCCGGCTGCTGTGAGGTGAGAAGTCTCTATCACACTCTACTGCTGTATGATACTCTACCTCCCTCAGGCCCAAAGCAGTGGGGCCGGTTGACCTCGTACTGAAGCTGGTGAAACTGTGAGCCAATGTGACTCTGCCCATTTTAAGCTGTCAGGTCTGACACAGCAGTGAAATTGTGACCAACTGAATGGAACAAGCATTTTCAGGTGCTGCACAGACAGCTACAAACCACCCCCAGCTTTCTGCCTGGAGAAGGTTCTCAGGCCTCTGCTGAGTGAGGTGGAGACCAGTACAGCGCACTAGTCTTAGCAGATAGAGGAAGCAGGGGTTGGTGTTCAAGGGTACTGAGGTGTCTGCAATTAGTGGAGTATAGAGAGAAGGAAGCTATGCAAATAAGAGGCCAGAGCTGTACACAGGAGTTCCCTGGAACCACACATGACAAGAGCAGAAATGCAGAGGCCCCACGAGAACTGTCACCAGAGGGTGGAGAGGTGATGTGGCACCAGCGACAGTGTTCGGGTTGGGCAGACGGAGTGCTAATACTGGCTGGTGACCCTGGAAAGGCAAGTCTCGAGAGCAGGGTGATGAGGGCCCTAGCACAGAAGTACCAGGTAGCCCCCTTTGTTAACAGGTTCAAAACAGCTTTGCTGGGTAAAGCTTCATGGCTGGAACAAATATTATCCTCTTTATAGAAAAGATCTCAGAGGACAAACCCAGAGAGGGGTGACCCAGATGTTGAAATCAGAAGAGAGAGATTTGAGTGAAAGACAGGTGAGCAGCCGTTTGGACCACAGAAAAATGATGAGTAGACACAAATATGGATCCCTTTTTAAAAATACAAGTTTAAGCACAATTTTAAAAACTCAACAGGGCTATAGACATGCTTCAGCCCTTGTTTAATAGTCATGAAGCCCTGGATTTGATCCCCAGCACTATATAAACCAGGCACAATGGCTGCTTGCACCTATAATCCAAGAACTCACGAGGTGTTTACAGGAGGATCAGATGTTCAAGGTCATCCTCAGCTACTGACTGAATTAGAGGCCATCCTGGGATACATGAGACCCTGACTTAAAAATAGAGCAACAAAAATCCTACCACCTGTGGTAGAATTTCAAGCAGTATCACATGTATGTGATCAGGACCTGGAAGGAGAGGACAGAGATTCAGATCAGATGAAAAATATCAATCCACAAATCAATAAAGGTCATATGGCATAAAACTGAAAAGCGGGCACATTGTGGACAAACTACTAACACCAAAGCTAAAGAGACCACCCCAGAAGCAGGCAGAGAAAAACAGGTGTGTCACAGACAGGGGCACATGGTAAGGAATACTGATGACTTCTAATCAGAAGCCATGCAAGCCAGAGGCAGCAGGAGAGTGTTTTTAAAATGTTGAAACAAACCTATAAACAAAGAAAACTGAAACATCCTTCAAGAATTAAGGTGAAATAAAACATTTTCAGGTAAACAAAATCTGAGGAAGTCCATCATAGCAGACATGTGTGTAGGCACCGTGGAGAAGTCCTTCAAGACAGAGAGGAAATGGTCAGGAGAGCCTCAGACCAATCCAGAAAGGAAGCCAAGAGAATGAGGTAACACAAAGTCTCTTTGGATGATGACAAGATAGAAATAATGGTGTCTGGTGGGGAGCATGGTATGTACAGAAGGAGTGTGTGATTTGAACACAGGACAGGAGGGAAGAGGTACCACAACATCATCCTTCCATAGCATCAGATCAATTCAGTGTAGCTGTGATAGGAGTCCAAAGCAAAGACATCATAATCCTCAGAGCAGCTGCCAAAAATAAGGGAAGCTCGGAGGTGTATCTCCTAAGTAAAATCAATAGCCAAATGATTCAAAAGTAGGCAAGAAGGAAAATAGGAAACAAAAAAACCAAGTTTCTATAAAAGACAAATAGCAAGATAGTTTAAATTCAATCATGTTAATAATTAAATTAAATATAAATGGGTTAATATTTGGTTAAAAAGCAAAGACTGAAGGGCTGGGGAGAGTTGGTTAGATCCCCAGCACCACAAAAAAGGAAAGGAAACAAAAGGAGGGCCAGTGAGATGGTCAGTGGGAAAGGCGCTCGCCCCCAAGCCTCACAACCTGAGTTCGATCCCCCAAACTCACATGGTGGAAGGAGAGGGCTGACCCCTGAAAGCTGTCCTCTGACCTCCACACACATGCTGTGACGTTGGAGTGTGCATGCACGTGGGTGCCCCTGCCCCACCCCAACACAAACATTTTTTTTTTTTTTTTGGTTTTTCGAGACAGGGTTTCCCTGTGTAGCTCTGCGCCTTTCCTGGGACTCACTTGGTAGCCCAGGCTGGCCTCGAACTCACAGAAATCCGCCTGGCTCTGCCTCCCGAGTGCTGGGATTAAAGGCGTGCGCCACCACCACCCGGCCCACAAACATAATTTTTAAAAATTGTAGAGGAAAGGAAATCAGGAGTGGTTATGCTAATAGAGGAAAGAGTAGCCTGCAGACAGTGTTATTAGAGCTGAAGAGAAACGCATCAGCTATGAACTCATAAGGAAGATCCACAGTCATACATGAGTCTGCTCAGAGTTTTCAAAGTCAGGCGGCGGTGGTGCACGCCTTTAATCCTAGCACTTGGGAGGCAGAGGCAGGCAGATCTCTGTGAGTTCGAGGCCAGCCTGGTCTACAGAGTGAGTTCCAGGATAGTCAGGGATACACAGAGAATCCTTTCTCCAGAAAACAAACAAACAAACAAAAACAAAAGAAAGAAAGAAAAAATAAAAGTTTCAAAAAACATGAAGCAAAACTAGGCAGATCTAAATGGAAACAGACAAACTCAGTCTCAGCTGGAGGTTTCAACATCCCTGTCAAATGTATAGATGGAAAATCAGGAGGAGGGAGGATGAGGAGAAGAAAGAAGCTAAAGACAGTATTTCAACCACCATGACTTCATTGGTATTAATAGATCCTTCACCCAACGGGAGCAGAATGCACAGGAATTTTCCCTAAATGCAAACGAGGAAAATGGCAACATTTTGAACAACTTTGTTCCAACACATTGGACACTGAAGGAGGCTGGGTAATTTTGACACAGTCAGAGAACTTACTTAAACTCTTTCTACCAAACTCCCATGTCTCCTACCAAAAAAGAAAACAAACCCCTGAAAATCTGAACATACAACTAACAAGTCCCTCCTCTTTCCCTTGTCGCTTTAGGTGCCAGGACATTCAGAGCAGGACCCCGGTCTCGACAGAGGACAGTTACCTATGACATAGACAGTCTGCAGTTTCTACAATTGCTCTTTTGTTTTCTGACGTTTCTCAAACTTGCATTGGGAGCAGATGTATACATGTTAACAAATAAAATTTCCAGAAGAACCAGTCTCTGTCCACAAGGGGCCTTGGCATCTGCTGGCCTGTCTGAGCTTGGCATTCAGAAGACCGTCCCACTGGAGTGCCCCCAGTTGTGGCTTCTTCTCTAGCTACCTCTGGAGTCCGCACCTGCAGAAGCCCCACCCTTGCTTCGCCTCTCAACCCCGTTCAGGCAGCCCCATCCTCCATGGCTACAGCCCTGCTATGGCCAGCCTTCCCAAGCTCCAGTCCTGCAGCCTGGAGGCTCAGGACGCCCCTGGGGCCACTGCTGCCAAGCACAGAGTTGAGAGCCATGGGATCCCCGGACACCAGCATCTCTGCTCTATGCACTCAGGGGCCCTGCAGCCAGCACCACCTTGGCTTACAGCCCCAACAGGACACGGGAACATTGAAGGGGGATGTCTATCAGTTTCTTCCAAGGCCAATCCATGGCTCCCCTCTGCAAAGTCGCTGTGTGTGGAATCCTTGGTCTCTGCTCATATGTCACTTGCTTGGACCGTGGGGACCACAAACATGCCTGTGAGCTGGGTAGCTACAGGGCCACACATGTGGCAATCCTCAGCAGACACACGTGGAAGGCTAAGTTGTGGCCTTCGGCAGCCTGAGCCCTCTCACCTTGTGTGTGTGTGTGGGGGGAACTGGCTGCCTGCCCTGCACAGAGAAGGATACAGACGCTGGGCTCAGACCCACCATCCCTAGACTGGCGATACCTTCCCTGGACTCAGTGGTGACAGTATGCATCCAAGGGCTGTCACAGAGGAAAAGGCAGAGGCTAGGCTTCCCAGCCCCATTCCCACCTCTGGAAAGAGCGGGCGGCCCCAGCCCACCCCCTCCTCCGATGTTTGCTGTTTTGTTGTTGTTGTTGTTAATTCCTCACCAGGTGGAACCAGCACTGTGGGGCTTAATTAAGCTCAGCCAGCTGTTGCTGAACACGGGGATGCAGTGCGCGGTGGCGGCAGAGTCAGCCCGGAGCTGTGGAGCAGGGAGGGCTGGGGCCGCAGAATCCCAGGCCAAGATGGAGTGTGGCCTGAGTTCGGGGAGTAGAAAGCTGGGGCTGCCTGGTGGACTCTGTGGGAAGGTCCAAGGATGTTCAGCTGCTGCTTTCCCTCTCCTCCCCTCCCCCATGCACTGACCGATCTCAGGTCCTGAGAACCGAGACCCACCCACCCTCACACAGGACGAAAGGAAACGTCAGAGATGAGAGTCCAGGGAAGGTCTTCAGGACATGCTGCTCAACACTAGGGCAGGAGTTCTGGAATGAGCATGAGAGAGAGAGAGAGGGGAGGGGGATAGGTGTGGTGGAGGGAGGGATATATGTGGTATTGGGGGCTGTGTAGCAGAGTGTGCATACATGTGTGTTGGAGGGGAAATGTGTATGTGTATGCATGCATGCAGTGGTAGAGAGCATGTGAACACAAACACTGGGATGTGTGTACGGGGTGGGTCAGGGTGAGTGTACAGAGGTTCTCTGTTCTCACTGGTGGTGGTCAGACGGGCTCTGTTTTCCCTCTGGTGTTTCACGGAACTTTACTCACCATTTCCATGAGACATTAATAGCTATTTCAACAAACTGTTTAGTTGGGAGTGCAAAGCTCTGGGCCAAACAAAGAGGAGCTGCTATGGTGCTGCAGTCCTTCTCTGCCCCTTGCAGCCCATCCTTGCAAGGGACAGGGCACCCCAGGAACCTTTTCTCTGCGGTGTCAGTAAGTTGAACACACGATAGCAAATGTCTGGTTCCGGGAGTCAGGTGTAGAAAGTGGAGGGAGCTGGGAACTAAAATGAGGGTCCATTCCTTTATCTCTGGAGCAAGAAAAGAAATGGACCACGCCCATCCCTCAGACTCTGACTCCCTCCTATCAAAATGTCAGCCACCCCAGAGAGAAAAAGAATCTCTAGACAGAACAGAAGACATCCCAGTGACCAGCAAAGCTAGCCAGCCTTGGGTGGGCCACTGCCACACATCTGTCTGTTCACATAACAGTGACAACCACAACAAAACCACGTAGCCAGGACCAGTGAGGATTAAGAGTGACAGGCACACTTGCTCACAGGCCACAGGCTCTGTCCCTCCATTCTAGGGAGCTGTTAGCTAGAGGAGTAACAGCGGCCCATGACTCCTCACTCCGCCTGTCATTCCTGTAGACAAGGACCTCTATGAAAGCATGGGGTGAAGTGAGTTCACTTCTGTGGCTGGGTAGGAAGGAGAACACAATATCATTCTGGGGGTATACTCCAGTTTCATAAGTCCGTCAACAAAACTGCACCCTCTGGGGACAGGCAGGCAGCATTGCCCTGAGGAATGAGAGACCGGAAGGAGGAAGGAAGGCTTCAGATCCTGTGTGTTTGGACGTATGAAACTCCATGCAGTGTCTCCGGAGAGCCTAGGCATGTGCCAGGGGCATGGTTGGCTAGCATTTTCCCAGGGTTGTGTACAGCAGTCACCTGACCCCACCTTTGCTCATTGTGGTTTTTTATGACTGTCACTACCCGGTGCCTAAGGTCTTGTTTGGGATCAGATGAAGAGCAGGTGTCTCCAGAGCCCACACAGATGTCTTTGTTATAGCTAAGATCAGGAGTCGCCCTGGGTTCCCAGCCCCATCTGAAGACCATCTGAACCCACTGTTCGCCAGCTGCCTGTGGGGAAGAGACTGAGGGCAGGTGAGGAACCAGCCCCTCTGTCTTCCTGGCTCTCACAGCTTGGCTTCACCTACTCTGGGCCTCACCTGAAACTACACTTGAGCAGGTGGCTCAGGCCCTGCCCACTAATGTTGCTTGTCCCTCACCCCATATTACTTGTCCACGACCTCATTCCCAGTTGATGTACAAGCTCCTTAGGTGACTGACACACACCTCACCCAATGAGCTAGTAGGTCTGTTTTGACTCCTGCTAAGGAAGTGTACCTGAGACTGGAGTAGTTTAGGGATGTGCTGCATGAAGTCGGGGACCCTTGGCTCCCTCGATTGGTCTGTGGGTGGACTGTTCTGACCTTGGGAACTTCGTTCTGGCCAGATGGGTAGCAGGGGGGCTCTCCAGATGCTTTCCATATTTGCTCTTCTTTGTGTCTTGGGACTTTTTTCAATGGGTCTGTACTGCTGGGATTGAATCCAGGATCTTGTGCACACTAGACAAGCATCCAGCACTGAGCCGTGGTCCAGCCCTTTCAGATTTGCTCTTGTTGAGCTCCTCTCCTTTAGGAAGATGCCCAGATTGTGGTAATTTTTGCAGGGTGGCCCTCTGAGGAATAACACCTTTGGTGAGGTCAGAGTGCAGAAAGCTACCATTCTGCCAAAATGCTGTGACATAGTCGCTAGGAGTTTTGACACAAAGTTGACACTGGCTGAGAAAGAGGAGCCAGGAGACCAGGCTGTCTGAGGTGAACCCAGCCCCCATCTACTAGCCACAAAGGTGGGACCTTAGATTCCCCTGCTCCTGCCCAGCACCCATGGGGCTGAAGTTCACTTAAAGTTGCAGGCCAGGAGCTCCCAGGCAAGCCTCATGATAGTGTGTATGCATCTGAGAAATTCTCATTTGGGGAGAGCAGACTGGGGATCCCCTGGTGGGCAGGAAAGGGCAGCCAGAGGCCCTTGCGAGTGGGTCCCAGAAGTGTACAGCCACAGTGCTGGCCCTGCCTAAGCTCCAGGAAGGGTCTTCCACTCAGAAATAGTCAACGACTATGCAAAAATCTCCACCATAAGTTATTTATAATTTGATTTAACTATTTTCTATTTCACTCTATTTCCAAAGCTCTCCCTTTGGGTTTCTTGATCTGGGTCTCCTCTCCTTTTGGGGAAGAAGCCCTGGCCACAGTGGCCACCAGCTGGATCTGTCAAAGTCTGTGGTGACACCAGAATCCCCAGGAGCCCTCCAAGGTAGTGGGATACAGCATCCGGGGGAGCTGGGAGCCTGGGGATGCTCCACTAGCCCAGTCACACCTGTACCACTCATTCATCCCCCACCCTTGTTCCAACCCAGGCCTACTCACCCCCAACAACATCTGACCATATCACTCTTCCAAGAGGTCACCCAGATCCCCACCTCCTCCTGGCCCTGGTTCTGACTCAAGAGGAGCTGATTCCTGACAAAAGGAGCTAGGGGTGGCTTTGCCCACTACCTACTCAGCTGGCCTGGGCTACATTCCATGGGTTTCAGGGTCAGGCCACATGGGAAAGTCCTGTGGAGCTGGAGGGAAGTGGTCTTCTACAGTTCCTGCCTGCTGTGCTATTATTATACCTTTGTGCCTTTTTGGCTTCTCAGAGTCAGGTTACCACCCTCATGAGGTCACAGGCACCTCATGAGGTACCTTTCATCTGTGCTTTGGGGGCAGCCCTCAATTCATAGATGCCTCTCTCATGCACTTGGAAGCATCTCCAGCATGGACCACCAGAGCAGGACCTGGGTACACAAGACCAAGTGTGAGCAGTGCCTGTCACAAGTCCATGAGCAGTGTCACAGTTTAGATGTGACATTTCCTCCAGAAGACTGCTCTTGTGGTAGGCTTACATTCTTCTAATCCGGCAGCATTCAGAGCTGGAGCCTCTGGGAGGTGACAGGATCACCAAGACTGATGATATTAGCAGGAAACAGTGGGAGGTAGGAGAGAGGATCTGGATGGAGGAGATAGGGAACCGGAGGCACGGCTTTGGAAGAGATAGCTTTTCCTCCGAGGCTTCCCTGCTGTCTGTCTCCTACTGCCTCTTGTATGTCACAAAGTGAGCAGCTTTGCTCTGCCACATGGTCCTGCCAGGGTACTCTGCCTCCCCTCAGGCCCACAGGACTACAGCTGGCTGATCACGGACTGGAGCCTCCGAAACCAGGAGCACATTCATTTACTGTGCGTGTATGTACCCATGCATGCCCCAGCACGAATGTGGAGGTCAAAGAACAACTTTCGGAAGTCATTTTTCTCCCTTCTGCCCTGTAGGTCCTGGGGACTGAACTCAAGTCACTAGACTTGGCAGCAAGTGCCTTTAACTGCTGAGCCATCCGCCCCCAAGTAATTCTTTTAAAATAGCTTTTCTCAGGTATTGTCCTAGTGAAGAAAAGCTGACTAAATAAACAATACACATATCCATATTCATTTGTATATTAATATGTCCCCAATAATATAAATATAAATTGAATTTTCTCAATTATATAAGTTGATGCATCCTAGTTATATACTCATATATCCCAATCTCTCTCTCTCTCTCTCTCTCTCTCTCTCTCTCTCTCCCTCCATATATGTGTATATATCACCAGGTATATCCTCAGATAGCCCAATTGTATATGCCCATTCATCCCCAATCATGTACCACATACCCCATGCATTTAAATGTGGTTCCACTTCTCTGAGTTTTAATGGATATTCATGCCAATCTCCCCAGCAGTGACCTAAAAGGAGTCCTGGGAAACAGATAGTGGAAATAATCAAAGGAAAAGTACACTCCCTAGAAACATGACTGTCAGGAAATGATGTCAAAACAAAAGTCCCCCTCCCTCTTCCTCCTTCCTTGTTTTTTCCTTCCCCTGTGTCTCTCCCTGTCTCCCTCCCTCTCTGGGCCCTCTCTGGTGACTCCCATTCCCCTCCTACATACCCAGGCCTCAGATCTTCCATGGGTTGTCATGGTGACAACTGCAGGGTGGATGCCATGCTTCCCAGGCAATGAAAGGTCAGTGTCATGGGTAGAACAGCAGCCTCAGGCCCCACCTCAGACTTCTTACAACTATATAGAGCCCGTGACACACCTTCCAGGACCCCTTGACATTTCCATTTATCCCAGGCATGGATAAACCTGGGATATCAGGTTTTATCCCTGTGTCTAGAAACAGAGTCTAGACACTCCTCTATGTCCACTGCGTATGTTGTTCCTTTCAATTCCCTGGTGGCCGGCAGGTCCCACAGCCATAAGGCACAGCGAGAACGCCAACCTGGCGACCAAACCCCCATTTGCTATGTCTTATTTGCAAAGCTGAGGTGCTGGGGCTGGCGGCCAGCTCTGGAGGCCACTGTGCTCATCAGCCTGTTTGCTGAACCCCGAGGTCATCTGTCATGGGAACCATACTCTTTGAGAACTGTCCATCCTCCAGAGGCAGCAGTCCAGCCAGGGCACAGTCTCTGGCTTAGTTTTTTTTTTTCAGAGCTGAGGACCGAACCCAGGGCCTTGCGCTTGCTAGGCAAGTGCTCTACCACTGAGCTAAATCCCCAACCCTTTCTGGCTTAGTTTTGTTTCTTGTTGCCGTGCTAAAATATACTATTAAAAGCCATTTAGGGAAGAAAGGGTTTATTTTAGTTCATTATTCCTGGCTATAGTCCGTCAAAGCAGGGGAGACACAGAGGCAGGCACTTGGTAGAACTGTCACGTTACCCTTGCAGTCAAGAGCCGAGAGCAATGGATTAACGGATGTGTGCTAGCGCTCAGCTTGCTTTCCACATGCCCTGGAATAGTTCACCCACAATGGGCAGATCTTCCCATCTCAATTAATGTAATCAAAGTAATCCCCCACAGGCCTAATGTTGACAGTCCCTCACTGAGACTCTTTTCCCAGGTGATTGCAGATTTTGCCAAGTTGACAGTTAAAACTGACCCTCACAACATCAGAGACTTTGATGTGGACACGTGGGCAGGTCACGGAGCCTCTGACATCTCCATAACCCACTCTGGAGAGAGACCCTCCTGTTTGCATTCCCAACCATCTGTCAATTATTCTAATGAATGACAGCATGGCTAGTATTTACCTGAGCCTTCTGGCCCTTTTTCTGGCATTTGGTCATCAAGGAGCCAGTCCTAAAATAGACTCATCCTGGGGGAGATAGGTGGTAGACTGGGAGCGGCGAGGGGCGGGGCAGCCACTAGAATGTGGCTGCATTCAAGGGCAGGATGGGATCCTTTCAAAAACTGGGAGGATCCTGTCAGTCAAAGCCACACCTGAAAGATGAGGACCTCAAAGATGTTCCTGCCCCTTATTCATAAGCCATCTCTCACTGTACTCAGGACATTTTCCTGAGGTGCAGAAAGGCCTGACCCTGTGTGCTGTTTGCTCTCTGGGATTAAGAGGCAGCAAGGATAGCAAAATGTGGAGCAGAGGACAGAGCGATGCTGCGGCCCATTTGCACCCCCAGTGTCCTTGTTGGGAGTTTCTGTGTCAAGCTCAAAGTGACAAGACAGGCTCAGTGGGGTGGGGGGGGACACACATGTCTGGAGCCATTCGAGCAGGGAGGGTAGAGCCAGCGTGTGACCCAACTTTATCCCAAGGTCCAACTAAGTTCAAAGTAGCCCTCTGTGCCTCAGTTTCCCCAGCTATGGTAGGGTTGTGGGAAGCAGGCATGCATCTGTGCTCAGTGAGTTCACACATGCTGTATAGACTGATGAAGTTTGAGACTCCTCTCCCGCGCCACTTCTTACAGCCTTTTGTGACTGTGGTGGTTTGAAAGAAAATGACCCCCAAAGGGAGTGACTCTATTAGGAGGTGTGGCCTTGTTGGAGTAGGTGTGGCTTTATTAAAGGAAGTGTGTCACTGTGGAGGTGGGCTTTGAGATCTCATATATGCTCAAGCCACGCCCAGTGAGACAGACCACTTCCTGTTGCCTGATGGTCAAGACCTTGAACTCTCAGCTACCTCTCCAGCACCGTGTCTGCCTGCACGATGCCATGTCCTGTCATGATGATAATGGACTGAACCTCTGAAACTGTAAGCCACTACAATTAAACGTTTTCCTTTGTAAGAGTTGCCGTGGTCATGGTGTCTCTTCACAGCAATGGAAACCCTAAGACCGTGAGTAATGGTAGGACCCTTCCTGGAGGGGAGGGAGGGGTCTGGGGCCTGGAAGGTGGCAAAGGTTTCTCCTCCTTGGAGCAACACCCTTGGTGGGCCTGTCTACTCCTCCTGGAAATACTTAAATGTAGCTAGAAAATATTTGAAGCAGGAGTGTGAGACAAGAGCAGCAGGAGACTGAGAGGGTCATGGCTTCCAAGGGAGGGGTGAAGGCAGGGCTTTTCTGGAAGTCTTATCTGGGCCCGTGGAGCTAAGCACATGCCAGCTACATGCTCTGCTGCAGACTGAACTCAGCCTATGGATGAGATGCAGCTCTGCCTTGTCCAGCGCAAGACCTTGTCTCTGGCCATCCTGGCATCTCTTCCTCTGACCCTTCAAGCCCCCTCATGAGTTTGCAGCAAACCAGAGAGAATCCAGCATCTGCCAGCCTAAGAAAGCAGAGATGGGGGCCCTGGAGAAACGGTTCAGCCAATGGTTAAGAGCTCTGGCTGCTTTTCCAGAGGACCCTGGCTCGATTCCCAGCACTTACATGTCGGCTCACGGCCATCTCTAACTCCAGTCCCAGGGGATCCTATGCCCTCTTCTGGCCTCAAGTACCTTGCACACACATGGTACAAAGAAATACATGCAGGCAAAACACTCACACACATAAAATAAAAATAAAACAAATCCTGAGGTGGGGATAGGGATCACTCAAACAAGGATAGAGACACTGGAATTCCTTGTTCTACAAGTAGATCATGGGTGTATGGCTTCTATATCTCATGGCTTCCAGCATCTCACCTGGAGTATGCTCCAGCATAAGCTCCCATTGGATCTGCCCCCTTGGCCCTTCACCTTCCTGCCACCCCCCCCACACACACACACACAAACACAAAGGGCCACTTGCCACCAGACCCTGCCTCCAGTTATACAGCTAAATAGCCCAAGCAAGATATCCAAGCACGAGCTGTGACCAGGATGGTATGTTAGGGTGTTGTACCCAGAGGCAGGGGGGCATGCTGACCACATCTCTCTTTTCAGCCATTGCACCATTCAGTGCCTCTGCCTGAAGCATCTTTCCTTCCACATGACACCTGAGTGACCCTGGGCTCCCCGTACCCATCCATCCTATATCCCAAATCCCTCCCAGCATCTAAACCTTTCTCCTTCCTCTGCCAGTGTGTCCAGGAGCTCCCACACACCAGGCTCTGTTCTCAGATCTGGATCAGAGACACAGAGGACATGGTGTTTCCTGGTGTGTGGGGTGAGGACCTCAGAATGAACAGCGATAGGTTGAAGAAGGCCTCTCTAGGGAGGGGGTATCTAAACAGATGAGATGATGAGCTGCCAGCTGCCTGGATACCTGGATCACGCAAAGGCTGCATACAAAAAGAGACTGGACCAAAGTCAAACAAACCACAGAAGACCAAGTCAGGCGGCCTACCGCACACCGTGGCAGCCAGGAGCCTTAGGGTCTGAGCAGGAGAGCAGCCTTGGCTGGCACAGTTCCAGCAGTAACCCTGCTGCTCGGGGCATGTCCCTGCTCTCCCTTCCTGTGATAAATGTACTTGTGTGATCCAGCATCCAGCCAGGCTCCGACAGGCTGAGGGCTTAAGGGAAGAGGTGAGTGGGATGCCAGCACATACTTCTCAAGGCGGGTGAGATCTGCCTTGAGCATACATTCAGAGCTCAGGAGGACTCCAGGGACAGCTGTAACCCCCTGGCATCCCCTCCGCCAGGTGTTTGAATCCTCCCCACCTGGTCCCTCCATCTGCATGCAAAAACCTCATCTCTAAGAGAAAGTTGGAGACCCAGAGACAATGCAGAGGAGAGGAGCTGTAAGGAAAGCATTTGATGATGAGTCAAGCTATTGATGGTTGCGCTCAAAACCCCCTGTATTTTCCACGGCCTTTAAATGCCTGCAAGCGGATTAATAAGGTCTTGGTAATAGCTGGCAGTCTATATTTATTCTATCTGCGATGCCAGTTGGTCAGGCCGTGTGAATATTGATGATGGCCGGGATTGAGGGCAGCGGCGCCTGGCTTTATCTTGCTCATGCAGGCTGCCAGAACCCTTATCAGCCAGACCGGCTGCTGCAGCTGCGTCTCCCGCAGGCCCGCCCCACCCCGCCCCCACTGCTCGCTTTATAATCAGAAGAGAAGTTGCTGCCTTGATATTTCCATTTTTATCTCTCCTATTTACTTCATTTAACGTCTTTCAGGGAATATTTTCTCTGCAAGAAGGCAAGTCTGTGGGTCGCCTACATCTTGCTGCCCCCACCCCCGCCCCTTGCCTAAGCGGGAGAAAAGGGGGAGAGGTGGAGCCCCCCCCCCCCAGCCCTTTGGTTCCTGTCCCTGCCTGCGGTGGAGACTATGTTCCTCTCTGGCTCCACGCTCATGGCCTCTTCTCCAGGCTTTCTGTCTTTGCTCCTCACCCAGGGCCGTGGTTTCCACCCTCTCTGTCCCACGAGAGACCCATAGCTCTGCATCCCCTTGGCAGCTAAGGCACCTGACCCACAAGCCCCTGAGGCTGCACCCCATGCTGGTTTGCCGTGCAGACAGGGCTCAGAGGGTCCCCGAAGGGGCCCATGCTGCCTGCCTGTGGTTCAGAGCTCCTGGCTTGTCTCCTCACACAGCCCCTGATTTCAGGAGACGTGGTTATCTTCTTTTCACAGATGAGGAAACCAAGGTTCTGGGAGGTTATCAGCTGTGGCCACTTGCTTTGGCTGGAAACTTGTGACAGAGAGGGAAGGACAGCAGTCAGGCTGGGACAGGCCATGTGTGCACCAGGCTTCGGAAGGAGCTGGGGCTGAGCGCAAGCCCTACTCACCTTTGTATTTTCTCACTTTTGCACAGGGACGGTGCTGCCCTTAGTTAGTGCCCCCTTCAGGCAGCTCGTACGAGGTGCACCCTGTGGCTGCGCCTGGGGAAGGTCTCCTGGCGTGGCTGCCCTCTGTGTCACACCCCCCCAACCCCACAGATCCTTGGTCCAAGACCATCAGCTCTCCTGTCACAGGTCAGTGTCTTAAACCTTGTAATGGCAAACATTGACCTTATTTTTTACAAAGGTCTTTGCAGGTGACGTTAAGTGAAGAATCTTTGTGATGAGATCACTTGAGTTGGGGCCATCCTAAACGTGCTGACCGAGTTCTTAGAAGAGGAAGATTCAGACATACATGGGCACCACCACATGAGGCAGGCACTTCAGGAGGGAGTCAGCCAGGTAGTGGGGGGGGGCTGTGTGTGTGTGCGTGTGTGTGTATCCCAGAGGAAGATGTTGGGTGTCTTCTCCACCTTCTTTTTTGAGACAAGGTTTCTCACTGAACTTGAAACTCTCCATGTTGAGCCTCTTTGCCTCCCTACCAATGCTGCAGTTACAGGCATACACTGTCATACCTGGCGTTTATATGGGTGCTGGGGATTTGAACTAAGATCTTTTTTCTTTTACAGCAAATGCTCTTACCCAGTGAACCATCTACCCAACGCTGACTGCTGTGTTAAGCCCCTAGCATGGAATCGTCTGTCCCAGAAGTTCCAGGAAGCTCTCACTGGAGCGGCCACTGTCTGGGAACCCCTCTCAGCTCCAGTGAGGACCCAGTCCACTTCGAATCCTCAACAATGAGCCAAGTGCCTCCTGCCCAAAGCTGCCGAAGGGATGTTTGGTAAATGATTAACTTTACAAGGAGGAATTGGCCCGTTGGCAGGAGGCTCCAGCACACCTGGAGTCAGCCAACAGGTTCAGGGGTGCCAAGCTCAGGAAACCTAGAACCACAGGGTGGTCATGGCCATGGGTCTCCAAGCATGCACCCCCACTCCCTGGGCCTCATAGTTAGATGCCCCTCGTTCTGGAGGTTCTGAGCCTCTGTTCAGAGATCTGAGCTGTGGCAATTCCCAAGTCATTCTTGGAGGAGCAAAGCTGCCCAGTTCACCCAGATGCTCTTATGAGGACCTGGTGAGTCCCACTGAGACATGAAATCTTCTGCCCTGGAATTAAAAAAGAAAGTCCTGGAGCCTGGCTGAACTCCATGTGATTTTTGTCACTAAAGAGAAAAATCAGGGGTTAAGGGGAAAGAAGATTCCCCTCACCCTCTTTCTTTGAAGGTGGTGAAACTTTGGTAATACCCCAACAGCTCAGTAAGACACCTGGGGGTCAGATCCTGCTTGAAAGGTGGGTCATCTGCCCTTTGGTCTCCCCAACACACACTGCTGGATCACATGGGAGGTACATAAGGGTCTGGCCATTCCCCAGTAGCTTAGAGAACATCCAGATGTTCAGGCCAGAAGAAACAGAGAAAGGGAGACTGGAGGAGGAAGCGGACACAGAGATAGCAAGGGGTGGGTATCAGAGGGACATGCTAGATCCTGGGAGGGGGCTCTGATGGTGGGGACATTAGAGAGAGTGGGTCTGTAAGATGGGTACATGATATGGTCAGAAAGGAGAGTTTCTTCCCCAGGAGGCCCGTTAAGGAGAAGGTGCTGGGGAATCCCCAGTGTGGCTTCAGCCACAGGTCCAGGGAAGAGGCCAGAGGAAGCAGAGAAACCAGGCTGCTGTCCCATGTGCAGGTGGCCTGGCACAGGTGGGGACTGGGGGTTGAGGGGAGCAGATGTCATAGGCAAATTGAGCTAAGAGACCTGGAATGAAAGAGTCACAGCACACTGGAGTGGGAGGACCTGAAAGAAACCAGAGTCAACGACGAAGGTCAGCCACGGTTACGTAGGTGGTGTTGTCAAGGGCCCAGTCCTCCTGGCAATAAAAAGAACAACTGGTTATACACCCAAGACGAGTACGTCTGGAACCGAGCAAGAGGAGCTGAAAAGCCAAATGGAAAAAGCCCATGCTGTGGCTCTGTTTTCATGGAGTCCCCAGCTGGTGAGGTGAGGCCATGTCCCATCTGAGTGGCTTGGGGCGGGGGTGGATTCCGAGGAGGTGAAGTGCTGAAAAAAGGGACAATGCATCTGACAGGACACTCC